GCTTTGACAAAGTTCTATCATTAACGTATAGTACAACAAATAGATTGCAGATCTACAGTTTAGTGTATTTATATGAGTATGTTTTGAACCAAATTTTCTAAATGTACTTTCTATAACGGAAATAATTTTTGTCAAGCAGATGGATAAAGAATATGATGTTATAAACGTGTTTCGCTTAATGTATGAGTAGATTCTTCTTTTTCCATTGATTGATTAAGCTAATTTGCTGCCAGACATCATCTCTAGCATAGATGAACAAATGCAAAGTAGACATTAAAATTGTTGGCAAAAAGATTAGAAGAGATTCAATACTAATTTCTTTACTTTCTGATTACTTGAGTTGCTCTACAGTATCAGAATAAAAAAACTATATAGACACTTTCATATATACTAGTTGAATCTAGTCTCTAGAGTGAACAAATTTTCCACTGTGAAAGAACAGATCTAACTCCTGCAAGAATGTGTACATTTTTATTTGAACGGTATAAGAACGGTAGACGTAGAGAACGTAGCATGATCAAATTTAAAAATTAGAATTCTTTCTCTCAAGATAGAGACAAATGTAGAATCTAATTCTACAATATGTCTTTTCGACTGTTCTCTATTCCCAAACTTTTTTCCTCTTTATGACTGTGAGTGTAGTTTTTGTTTTTTGTGTAAAAATTCTTTTTCCATTTCGTTTTATAACCAAACGATGAACTTTGTGTCTATATAGTTTTTTTATTCTGATACTGTAGAGCAACTGCATTTCTCATCTTCTACATTGACATGAGAATGATTACTTTCTTTTTATCTCTCAATAGCAGAATAGAAGAAAAAGAAACGTATATATTGGAGAAAGAAAAAAAAATCGTTAATTTCTAGAGATCATCGAGAACAAACATAATATCCAAGGGAAAAATACTTGATAAATCGTTCAATCATTGTGTTGTGTATATAAGAGATTAAATACATTTAAGATGAATCCTTCATCTTATCATTACAATTTCACACCGTCGGAAACCATTGGACATGATACTGATCATTCAATCATGATTACACCAACAAGAAATGATGAAGATAGAAAACATTCACAACATGTAATAAATTTACCAATTCATCAAGAAGATTTGAGCAGATCAAGTATGTTTAGTAAAGAAATTATATTTATTTTCATGAACACCATTTTTGAAAATGACATTGTTTTCTTTTATAGATTTCGCTGATGATATGGCGGGCACAATATTATCATCTGTTTTATCTTCAGTGACTGATGATATTACCACAAGAAAAAATAATCGACCCGAGCAAAAATCCTTAATATCTGTTTATGATAATTCGAATGATGAGCGTACAATCGGTATTATTGGACATCGAAGTAAACGTTCAATTGCGTTTGCTAAACGTTTAGTAAGTTATGGTTTTACTCCTGTATTAACAGATGCTATTGGAAGTACAACATCAATTGAAAGTGAAATTACTGATAATATCCGATATGTGCCGAATACGACATTTCGTCAATCAACTCAAAATACCCCAATTATTATTATAACTGAACAACCACATGGAGATATTCAATATTTAACTGATGGAAAATTGGTTATTGAGTCCATCGTTCCAGAATCAAATAATCGATTTTTATTTAATAAAAAACATTTAGAACAACAATCATCACTCACAAAAACATTTTTTATAAATCAATCACGTACTACATCAATGGTACGTGCGTTTGGCAATCTATCAGCATGGGAAATTGAGCATGACACAACTCAACGTGTACCTGTTTATATTCAACAACACTTCGATATATCACCGACAACTATACCACGTTTATTAAAATTTATTCATGAACTTCATTTTCATGATACTCGTGTAATGAATGAATATGACTATAATAATGTGCTAAAAAAACGTACATTTCAAGGATGTTTATTCCCATTACTAACAACGTTATTAGTATTCATCGTAGCTTTGTTAGTTGCAATCATTCGGTGCAGTGGTTACGAGGAAACAAGAGATTTTTCCTATTGTAGCAATAATCATTCATCAATATTTCGTAGAGCTAGTTCTGTTACCGGAGCAACTAGTTTAATCTTATTAGTTATACTCTATTTAATACGTCCAATATTAGAATTAATTGATTTCTTATCCTATCATCTACATGCAAAGAGTAATAAAACAATAACAACAAAACAAAATAATCAATTGACAACTATACTTAAAGGTTTTAATTATTTCAATTTTGTTCAACGATGGTTACATTCAAGACGTTATTTGACTTGGTATTCAGTAACATTTGCTCTATTACATATTCTGTTTCTCACATTTTCACAAGAACAATTTTCCCTAAATCGTTGGCAGCTGTCGTCATTTTTCATTGGTATTATTACATTAATCTTACTAATTATATTAACGATTGTCTACTTACCATGGATAAATGAAAGATTATTATCAAATGAATGGCGTATTATTGTATCGTATGTGGGGTCATTGACACTTCTATTGGGTTTCATCCATGTTTTATTATTATTAGTAAAACAATGGAATTCATATGAGAGTTTATTTAACTTAACATTCATTTCACTATTGTTATCACTATGTGTTGTTATTGTTCGATTAATTGTTTATGCCATTATATATCCGCTATTGAAAACAATTGATTGGTTAAAAAGACGTCGAAATAAGAATAGTGTTAAGAAAAATGAACAAATAACAGAAAGTGGACAACAACCACCACCACATGTTATTGTAACAACAAGTAGAGAACACCCGATCAATACTAATACTGCTACACCGCTATTAAAAAAAACAAATGAATAAGATTTCGACAATCTTTAGTTATAATCAAGCATCAATGTTGTTTCTTATTGTATGTTTACAGTTAACTTTTTGACAGATAAATGTTTTTGATATTCAGTCATTTGTAAATGTGTATTTAGTACTCTTTTTTTTATATAATAAATAAAATGCATTTAAATCACAGTCTTATATTTGTTCAACACTAAATGATATATTTTGAATTAGTACCAGGTCTTGTTGAATTTTCTATTACAACTAATTGCTATCAAATTTCACATATGTTATGATTTGAGAATTCTCTATATAAACTTTCTGTAGATTATCTGTACTTAACTATCTGTACTAAGTACTTTTTGAAAGGATTACGTATATATGTATCAAGAAATATCAACTATTTTTACTGTTTATAGATAAAATGCGCTAACGATTTCGTATGTATATCGGACACAAATATAGACTAACTGTCATTCATTATTATTCGTATATATTAAGTTTTACAAACAACGATGCAATATGCATGCATCAATGTTCTATACTCTAGTCTATAATTATTATTCTAATAGCTGGATGCGGTAAAAGAGAAAGGAAAGAATAGAAAAAAGGCAGATGTTTAGTGGCATATATAAATCACTAATACCATATGGCTATCTTATCTTTATAGTGAAAATAACGAAAACTATTGTATCGTATAGTTTTTTCTGAAAGTGTCTGGTGAACGCTTTCAATAACACGTTTAAAGAAAAACTGATATCGCTTTGAATTTATTATATATACAACATGGGAAAAATTTTGTAGATTATAGAAACAGTATTGAATTAGAATATATTAATCCAAACCTAACATGAAGTTACAATGTTTTTTGGAAGAAATTTTTTGCTCAAATATCATAAGATAATTTTTTTATTTAAATGCAATTTTTATCCGCACTTGAAAAATATTTTTCTCTTTTATACATTTGTATTACTATTTCTCAAGCAATAATTTTGAAAAAAATGTGTTTTGATCCCTAAAAAAGAAGATATTTTATCACCAAAAGTATTTCCTATGAAATAATTACCACAAATGAATCGACAGCCTGCCGATACCTTCCAAATGATTCTTTGTTTCTTCAACTTTTTGTTTCGCTTGTCTTGCAATGATATAAGAGAAATTTTTCGCCATGAAAAAATTTATGACTGTTCTGCGCTGATAAAGCGATTTTGATCAAAAAAAGATCAGAAGAGGTCTTTTTTGGATCGTTTTGATACTTTTCGATTGAGCAAATTATTCAGTTATCAGGTTAACTGTATTGTTCTTTCTATTTGTCCTAATCCTTCACCTAATTAACTTATAAATGTTCATCTATTGTCTTGTTCATTCCATATGTAGAAGAAACGTCGCTAAAGCGGTTAATATCTATTTTCGCATCGAGTTCGATATAAAATTTTTCTAGTTCAACTCTGCTCGTTCTGTGTTGAATTAATGATGTCAATTTTTATTAAAGAACTCTTGTTTCTTACGTGTTGTACTTTATTCATTAAGGTATAAATTCGCGTGCCACACAACAGCTGTGTTATAAACTTATTTTTTCTCATTATCCATAGATTTCAGATTAAAAAATGCACATAAAGAACATAACATATGCTTCTCAACATGAACACTCTCAGATTAGTATTTAATTTGAATAGATCAAAGAGTCTGTTCATATCATTATAGATGATGGAACAAATGTTATGCGTTGTATATATAACAAATAGACTTGATGGAAGGAATTAAGAATGTAAGATTTATTCTTATTCACTGTGTGAAAGAGCTCATTAACTTTTAAAAATCTGTGAAAGTTCTACACACTTCTATTTCCCTACCTGAAATCAATTGAACAGAATAGAAACCGACATGAAAAAAGGTATATTCTATATACGATTATTAGATTTAATTATTATACTAATTATTCGGTAAATCTAAAGACTTATATACACAAAAACCTTCTACGTAAAAGTTACTTACTTCTGTATCACGTTCTTGTATAGCATCGTTGAGTTCTTTTTCTAATTTTCGTATCACTCGTTCATTTGATATTAATCGATCATTTAAATTTGTCAGTTCTTCTACTTTTTCACGCTCTTCATTTGGCGTGGTTAAAAAACGTTCCATTGCACTTTCTCTTAATGTTTTCAAAATTTCTTAAATAAAAAATCAAATAATATGTATCGAAACTTGTTTCCCATACATTTAAGTGTCTTACTCATAACTTCCTTTTGTGGTGGTAGCAAATCATTTGAGGACAATGTTTCTTTAATGATATCAAATCGATTTTTATGTAAAATATCCCTTAGTATATTTCGTATTGACTGTTGAATATAGTAGTGATAGGCAGCTTTTTCCGTTTGCTGCTGTGACACTGATATACCAAGACGTTTTGAATAATTTTCATACTGTGGCAAAGAGTCTGTTAATGAAATTTATAATCTTTTAATTTCAAACTATCGATAAAATTTAGTAGATTTAAACATACTTAACATATTGGAAATTGATTTTAAACTATGTCCACTTTCATAGGCCGCTTTCAATCGATTGTGACGATCAATTTCCGCAACTGTATTTCTAGAATATCTCGAAATGTGAATATATATTGATTAACGAGAGATATCGATATTACTTACTGATCGAGTATATTTTTAAATAAATCCATATTATTCACGATAATCGGTAAATATTCTACTAATTCTATTTTTCTTACAAGATCATCGAATACAATCATGATGCGTTGTGTTTCTAGTGTTGATAATTTTGTGCGAGCTGGTTCATGTAAACGTAATGGATCTAATTGTAGTCGAATATGTTTTATTTCAGCTGAATGTGGTGGCGATAAATATTTCGTGGTTTTTGTATTTGAATTTTTAGAACTAATCGGTGGCAGGGACACAGCTGCAGCCATCGTTGTAGAACAAATTGATCAGAAAACTCAAACGGTATCTAAAACATTATAAAATAAACTAATAGTTTAGGCAAATAGTTCAAAAATATTCTTAAAAATGCGTGTTCGAACTAGTAAAATTATGTTTTTTAATAGCGTACATGACGTCATGAAATGTTCGCTTATTACTTTAGTATCAAGCAATTATATCCAGATGTTACTATACAATGATTCAACTATAATATACTATTACAGAAATGAAAGACTATATATTCAAATGACTGTGAAGCCATCACTAAAGTCCATAAAAATGCAGTAAGTATACCGTTGATACTCATAAAATACTACAACAAGTGTTTTCCTTTTAGTCTAATTATATCAATTCTATTAATTCTTACAATCATCCCAACATCGTTCAGTGAACAATGTCCAACTAATTTGAGTATATTAAAATTGTATCAATGTGAAACACGCGTTAACTATTGCTGTAAAAGATCAAAGATAATCACACCAATGTGTAAAAAGTTTTTAGATTTTTTCAATGATCAAGGAGCCGATTTAATGAATGATGATGAGTGTAGTGATTGTAATAAATTCGCACGTGCATATCAATGTTATAAATCAGATTCATTCATTACAAGTTGTGCAAATTTATCAAATTCAACTCTCAAAGATCATTTACAAAATTGTCCGAAAAGTATTTTGTTCGCACATTGATAAGAACTACTTATATTTTTTTGTACACACATCTCGGTCACAAATAAAATATACAAGATTCTAATTAAATTTGAAATATCTCATTTAAGACCTACTATAAGAAATGTTCAACACTGTGGTGATGTCCATTGCCTCAGTTCTATTGACTAACTTCACTAGAAAAATCTTGTTTTACTTCTATTCAAATGAAAATCAGTTTAGTAACGTTAACCCCTGTCAAAACCAAAGCGATAATAAGCCTAAAATTAACGTACACCATACACTTTGTTGTTTCTTTGGTAATTTCCTCCAATTCGAAAAAGTGAATAGCGAATAGAAAAGCGCATAGCTGCGTCACAGACGAGTTTTAGAAAAATATTGTTTGACTCTCTATTTTAAATCTGCAGAAGCTTAGAAAAGGCTTTATTTTTTCCAAAAAAGCTCCTAATGTCATCAGAATTTTCTCGATGGCACACCTCTTTGTTATACATCAGCGATATAACAGAATAAAACAGCTGATCGTCGTGTTCGCACGAAATTCTCTCTTCGTTCCCTTTCTTTCTTTCACATTCGGACGGATAAACAGTAAGTATATCCAGTTATATTTGATTTATCATACAGAAGTAAGTCATCAAAAACACTTTGTTTTTTTAGTTGATCTCTTCATCAGTAGCAGTAAGACTCTTCATGAGAAGTTCAAGCCCGTGTTGTTTCTTAAAGTACTGCACTATATTTTTTGTTTGAAAAGTGAAAGACAACAAACTTAAAGTCTACACCAGATTGTGACCTAGTTGCACACTCTCTTAGAGTTGTTGTTTTATTTGAAAGTAAACAGTCAATAATTCATGTATAACTCTGTTACCCAAACGTTTCTATGTTCTTTTAGATAAAAAACTTGTTTAACTCTTTACAAACAAAATTAAACATGTTAACACCCACAGCAGCCAATATGACCAATGCGAACGATGGTAACGATACGATAAAAAGTTTATCATTATCAAATGAAAATCATGTGAAAATGAATGGTATTGTTGATAATGAACAAAATTGGAAAGCAAAATTAAAATTACCACCAAAAGATTATCGTCCACAAACAGAAGACGTAACAAAAACACAAGGTCACGAATTTGCAAATTATTGTTTGAAACGTGAACTATTAATGGGCATCTATGAAAAAGGATGGGAAAAACCGTCACCAATTCAAGAAAGTTCTATTCCAATATCCTTAAGTGGTAAGAAATAAATATTATCTCTGTTCTTTTTATTATACTGTACCTTACTGTATCTGTAGGTCGAGATGTTATTGCTCGCGCCAAAAATGGTACTGGTAAAACAGGCGCATACGTAATTCCAATTATTGAACGCATTAATCCAGAAAAAAAAGTCATTCAAGCAGTAATATTGGTACCAACGCGAGAATTAGCCTTGCAAACAAGTGCCATATGCATGGAATTATCAAAACATTTGAATCTACGTATCATGGTTACAACAGGTAAAAGTCAACAGGTCTTTAGTTTTTCTTACCGGCATATCTGTTGTTACTTTAGGTGGTATAAATTTAAGAGATGATATCGCTCGTATTTATGAAACAACGTGTCAAATAATGATCGGAACACCAGGCCGTATATTAGATTTATTGCATAAAAAGATTATTGATTTGAGTCAATGTAATTGTTTTGTATTGGATGAAGCTGATCGTTTGTTATCACAAGATTTTCAAATAATGCTTGATGAGATGATGTCTTATGTTCAACGTGAACGACAAATGATGTTATTTTCAGCCACATTTCCGGTTGTTGTCGAACAGTTTATTCGAAAACATATGAAAAATCCCTATGAAATCAACTTAATGAATGAATTAACGTTGAAAGGTAGTGACTACTATAACGTTTTTATCCATCGATATTGTTATCGAAGCTTTGTTCTGGCGCAAATACTGCACAGGTTTTTTCATGTTCTAGGTATTACTCAGTATTATGCATTCGTCCAAGAGAAACAAAAGGTTCATTGTTTAAATACATTATTCTCAAAACTACAAATTAATCAATCCATCATTTTCTGCAATTCGACTCAACGTGTTGAATTACTGGCCAAAAAAATAACTGTAGGTCATTTGCTGTTATAATACATCGTTCATTGTTCGTTCTGTTATCATACACATTTGTTCAATCGTGTTTCATTATTTTAGGAATTGGGTTACTCATGTTATTACATTCATTCGAAAATGCGTCAAGAACATCGTAACCGTGTGTTTCATGATTTTCGCAGTGGTTTATGTCGAAATTTGGTTTGTTCTGATTTGTTCACACGTGGTATTGATATCCAGGCTGTCAATGTTGTCATCAATTTCGATTTTCCGAAACTCTCTGAAACCTATCTTCATCGAATTGGTCGATCTGGTCGTTTTGGTCATTATGGTATTGCGATCAGTCTCATAACGTACGATGATCGTTATGCAGTACATCAGATTGAACGAGAATTAGGTACTGAAATTCAACCAATCCCAAGACAAATTGATGAATCATTGTATGTAGCCAAACAAGTAGTTGATGATGATAGTCATCATCCAAGAAATAATGATAATCATGAACAAACAACGTCTGATAAAGAAAATAAATTGGATTCAACAGAGAATAAATAAGTATGTCGATTGTTTTAATTCTATTGTTTCTTCTGACTGGCTTTACAAAAATATGTTAACATAGTTAAGCAAGATTTTCTCTTTGAGACGCTCAAAAAATTTGTTGATAAACACTGTTTCTCAGAGAAAAATTTAGCAGAAATACGCATTTCTAAAATAGTTGCAGGTTAATAAATCGTCTTTGTTGTCTTGCCAACTAGTCGAAAAATCATTAATTTTAAAATTTCACTATTTTCTCATCAAATGTTTTGGTCATTATTCAATATTTATTGTATTTTAGATAATTAAATCACGCAGCGACAGTTAAATCCGGTGACAGTACACAAACAGGCCATACTGCATTTTCCATTCAACCAAAGACAGTTTTTCTTTTTCTTTTCTTTTTTATTATAATCTTGTTGATTTTTTTCTCCTTTACAATTGATAGAGACACCATACAGACAACGCCCGGCTTTTGCTTGTTGTTGCTGTTATTTTATTAGACGAATATAGTCTCTTCTGTTCTAATTCCGGTAATTTTTTTCTTTTATTTATGTTCTTCTTGATTTTTTCTGTGCTATACTTCTTTGTCAGATAAAGGAACAAGGTTTTATTTGTTTCAGGAAATTCCATTGTTTTTGATAGAAAACCGAACAAATTCTGCGCTTGCTCTTTTATGTATTTTTCTCCTTTCCCTTCACTTCTTAATTTTGATGTATGTTAGGGTTTCATAGACCTTTCTAACTGGTTCTTTTACTCAGTATGCATCATTTTTAGGGTTGTCTTTGTCTGTCTAAACAATTCTACATCATTTTGTTTTTATTTCAACAACCTCGACGTACTCCTCTTTTTCGGACAATCTAAACGTTTCCCTTTTTGTTGTTTCTTCTGTAAAAGTGACTTGTTTCGTTCTTTTTTATGTCAGATTGTACAAGAGAACAATAAAATATAATTGTTGTTTCTCTGCACAGTGAATACATTAGTCAAAAAAAGAATAATTTTTTTTTCTCGTTTTTTCGTGTGCTTTTCGTTTAGGACTGATATCATTTGTTAATTGATAGATAACAAATGATCCATTCCATTCGTGTTAGTGTCTTTTTTCTTTCGTTTTCCTTTTGTTGTTGTGCTGCCTACATACTCACTTTGTGAATCTGAATTTTGTCGCTAGCAGAAGAACAAGAAAAAAATTAATCAGATGTTGTTTTTTATTTGTCTGTGTGTGTATTATTATTTGCATTTTTTTAATTTTGAAACATCAGAACATCAGAAAAAATAAATGACATACGAATGAAACTGTTTTTAACACATAATCGTCAGCGACATGGTCAACAAATTCTTCTAGTACAGTTGCCGGCTGAAATCTTAGTCTAGTGGGATATAGACTAGTGCGATCGTTCAAATCTTTTTGGATTCAAACCCTTTCCAGTCGGCTGTGTTTAAAACACAGCAACAAATGTTGCCAAATGACAACATCTGGAAAGGTCTAAACACAGTTGAGATTATAGAAAATCTCTCGAGGCGAGCCTTCCAATGAGCACTTTCACTTGAGTATGATAAAGTGAAAGATGTTGCTCATATTCGTGAAATATCTGCAGTGTACAGTGTCAGATCTTCTGAGTTTATCTCCGAAAATACTCGACGAGCATTTGTTTCCTAAATTTGTTATACTACCCAGAGCGTAGTTGACTCTTTGAATGTTGCACTGTCATCTAGCAAGATTTACGTTTATCCAGAATTTTTTTATAACTGTGTAATCATACTTCTACTGCCATTCTGAAACGTAAGCTAAGACAGACGGATACAAAGAAATATTAGAGGTTGATTGTAGTCCATTGCTTTGCGATCGACACACATTTGAATATTTTCGACACCATACGTTGAACGCCAGTATAACCTGAGATTACAGTACGAGAGTACTGCGACAATCTAGGTGCCGCGATATTCTTATTACTACCGTCGCCCTCTAACAGTATCATAAGCTGTCACACTTCCAACATCTCATAGGTTGAACTCAAGTCGAAAAACTAACTTCATTTTACCTCTCTTTTCTCTCTATGCTGAGATAATTCAGTTCTATATTTTTTCTTTCTTTTTGTTGCGCTTATTGTCGACATCACCTTTATTTCTTATTTCACGTAGAACTGACACACCTACTCTATAATACAATCTGACATTTTTCGCAGTGTCTAGATTTCATTTCAATTTGACAGTGGTATGCTTTAATGGTTTTTATGTATAAATGTCTGAACGACAGAGACAAGAGAACGATTTGTGTATTCGCGTTATACTGTTATTGAACGTGCAGTCCAGTTTTCGTAGTAGTTTATTTAGACTAGTTTACTTTCAGCAGGAATATAGAGAACTTTCCATCTTGGCTGATTCCAAATACTCTATTCGAACCTCGGATATACACTATATTTTAGATTATTTTCTTCAATTGGTTTCCCATTGTTTTTTGCATGCGAATGCAAACTGTGTGGAAATAAGTACCAAATACTTAATACTTCATCATAGATTCTTTGATTTCGAACTGAAAATATAATTACACAAAATGTCAAACAAGCATGACCAACAATCCACTAAGATTCCTAATCAGCAATCGAAACCCTATTCGTCGTCTCCTACAATTTTGTCAGAAACCAACAAATTATCATCAGCAAATAGTAGAAATAGTCCTGTTAACATAAGTCCGTCTACGCCGTTGAGAAACTCCGGTAGTTCATCGTCATTATCAACGACCACTACTCCAAAAGATGATCTAAATTGGAAATCAAAACTGAACTTACCTGAAAAAGATAATCGAGCTAGAACGAGTGATGTGACCGGCACAAGTGGCCATGACTTTGAAGACTACTGTTTGAAACGTGA